GGATAAGGCAGACTTTAAAGGATTGACTGCTGGTGCGTGAAATTCACTTCCAGGACCAATGGATGGTGTGTGTCTGCTGTGAGTTTTTATGCAAGTAAAAAAAAATTAAAAAAACAGGAAAACTATCTCTTTGTGCGACAGCATCATCTGCTTTTGCTGCAGAACACCTCCAGTTGGCTCCGGCTTGCTCTTTGTGGTGTCTCTGTGCACTGGCAGGGCTTACAGCTCCAATCTGTGTCTCTGTTTGACACAAGGTTAACTGTGAATGCCAGTTCCTCAAGTGAACTTTGTTCTCAGCCCCTGGAATTAAGAGTCTATTCAAAGAAATGTGGATCTCTTCTCCACTAAACACAATAGACTTTAAAATGATTCATTTATTGGAAATGAGGCAGAAACTAATTAGTAAAACAGCACAAACAAAATGTCCAATAGGGCAGTAAGTTTTAGCAGCTTTTTTTTTCACGTCTATCAACACAAGATAAACTCYAGCAGAGGCTGAAAATTTACTTCTAGAATAACTGTTAGATGTGTTCTTACATTAGGCAACAATTCTGGGTAATGTGCATGCATTGAAAGTTAATGCATCTGAGTTTTTTTTTGTCTTGTTTATGTGTGAGTCACTCAAAAGTGTAAACTGTAATCTGGCTATCTGCCTGAGTTTCCCCTACGGGGGCAGGGAAGTGAGAAAAGTCGGTCCTAGAGAGGGCTGCTTCCAGGCGAGGCAGATTTCACTGCTCTGGATGTGTCACTAATCAGCAAAATTTCATCAGTATAGAAGGATTAAGGTGTTAAGATTTATTTTTATTTCTTGTCTTTCAGATTGGAGCATTCATTCAACCCTATATCCCTATGTAGGGGTCACCTCGAGTGAAGAATAAAGTAAATCTTGTTTCTTCACTCGAGGTGACCCCTACACCTACATTTACAAACATTATAATGATGGTTCCTACTCATCAGATTATAAGGGGAACCACTTTTCCGATTTGGGGTCAGAACCATGTGCTCTGATGAACAACYGCAACACTGAGGCCATTATTCTCCACAACTTTTCTGTTTCCTTTGTCAGACTTCAACATTTCTTAAGCTTCCTGTGCTCTCTACTCTTGTTGCTTGGGTTAACTACATCTATCAGAGATGTGTCATTCACAAACAATCCAAATCGTTTGAACGACTCCTCACAATGACCATTAGGAACTGAAGTGCAAACAGTGAAGAGACATTTGCAGTTTTATATTTTTTTTTTACTCTGTGTACTATCTTGTTTTTTATCCATCACCAAAGAGACAATCACTCATCCTTCACGTTTTCACAGGAAACAGGCAGAGCAGTGGAGTGCATCAGTTCATGGGTAAAGGGGGATTGGTTCTGTTTAGCAAAACACATGGTTCTGCCCATGTGATGCAATGACATCATCTCATAAGACGTGTATGATGACGTAACTCATTCAAAAGTGAATGGCTGGATCATCAATTTTTGGATCCCTTCAAAGAGCCATTAGTCCCATCTCTAACTTTTATCACCACCGTCTTCTCCAGTAGCTTGTTGACCACTGCATTGTCCGGTTGGTTCGCCATCAACTGTTTAATAGCTGGGAGTTGGTGTAATGATAAAGTTGCAAGATTTTGATGCAGGAAAATCAGGGATTCAGGGTTAGAACCCTGGTGCACACCAACCTCAGTTACGGAAGTGGGAGACACAGTGAAGAAGCCACGCTGCTTTGTGTGTTGCCCTCAATAACAAGGTCTGCAGATAAATGGAAAAATAAAACTGTAAAAGTCAGACAGACATSTAGTTAAACTGAGCCTTGATCATATAATGTGTAACTGAATTTAGTTTAAAATGAATTATCTTGTATGAGGAAAACAAATAAAAAATCTTGGGCAGTGCAGCTGTTTGGTTGGTAGTGTTGCATCACAGAAGAAGTCTTTTCAAATCTGAGCTTTGCACTGCTCTTTTGTTTGAGGTTTGCATGTTTATCTTGTAATTCTTCTCAAATTTTATGACCTTTTAACATCCATAAATCAAATAAAAATGTATAACAGTTGCAGTCTGATTCAGCACGACTTGCATGCTAACGCACAATAAACTCAATTATGGATGAATATTCTAAGACTTTCTACAGTGAGTGTGTATGGAGGTGGAAAAGACAAGTAGGTGTTCTTTCAGGTCAGGCAGTCAGTCAGAAAGAAGTAGGTTACAGTAAAGGATGGTGAGGAGGGTAGCAACTGATGCCGTTTTTGATGCTTCTTATTTTATCACCGTGACCACATGGGACATGAGAGGCTCTGGATCAATCAAAAGGAATTTAAATTTACGAATCATGCCGAGATTGGCTGATCATTGCTTTTTTTCCWTCTTCTTCTTCTAATCAAACTTCTTGCATGAAATAATGTTACACTACTCACATCAATTCATCAAAGTTCAATTAGATGTCAGAAATATAACCATATATTTTGACATGTAGCATTTTGATAAAAAATAGAAATATCAAAAATTTTGTTTATTTTACTGAAACACAGCTACTTCTCAAACCAACATTGACCTTAAAACAAATATAATATAAATTTACAGATAATCTTCTTATAGCTCCAAGGTATTTATCTCTCACAACATTAAAAAAAAACAAAGAAAAATGTATTTAAATTACACATATATTAAAAAGCAAGATAAATTATCATTAACCTGAACTCACTGAATGATATTAATTTACTAAAGGTGCATTTGAAAAAAATTGTTGCCACTAAGGATTTTAATTATAGTTAACTGACTTTTCTTACCCTCAGGTAATGTATTCCACTATACTCACAGTTTAAAAGCAATATTTAATTGTAATATTTGATTAAACATGAGGGCGCGAGCTGTAAGATATGAGCTGTGTTGTTCACCAACACTTTTGTCTCATACGATTTAAGAAGTAAATGTATTGTAAACCACCAGGAATGCCAAGAGTTGTAGATGAAACTTGTTGGAAGATAACTTTGCAAGTTTGTTAAAAATTATTCCCGAAGCTGTCTGAGTTTGCAAGTGAGGTTTCACTTATTCCATTTTATTTCTGAATTGTCTGGGCCAGTTCTGAGCAAGTCTTAGAACATGTTTGGTTTAATGTATTATTGGTTTAATGTATTAATGTTAGATTGTGGCTTTTGTAATTCACTTTGTCATCTGAAGTTGTTTGTAACGATCAGTCTGGTGATGTATATTTTAATACAAGTTCATTGTTACCAGCTGGTGGAACAACCTCAATTTCGAGAAAAAAAGACGTTTTTTTGACACCTCTACCACTAGGGGTCTGTGTTCTGTTTTGTTTACATTGTAAATCAGGAAAACAGGTAATTATGAGTGAGACACACTGGGGCACATGTGGTATATTCTGTGCTCATGCCTGTTTCTGTGGTGCCCCCCTGGGCAGGTATTTTTCCCAGGTTGTCTCTGCTCTTGGCTTTTGTTCCATTGCYCGATGCACACATCACTCATTCACCTGTGCTCCCCACAATTGATCATTTACATTTATTCTGCCTTTCTATACAACAAATTACATTTTTTACCTGCCATCTCATGTTGTCTGTCTTGTAACAACTCTTTGAGCCAGTCTGTACCAACTGACATCCGAGTCCAAAAGGGGCAAAGACCATRGTAAAACATCTCAGATCTTATACATTTTAAGACTAAACAATCTTCAGTGAAAATACCAACATAATTCAATGCTAATAACTGTTTTTTTGTGTGTTTGACAGCAATGTGAATGTTTATTAAACAGCATTTAATGAATTGCCATGGAATTTCTTAGACTGAAGTGAATCAGATATTACAGTAATCAACTTCAYCCCTGCTTAAGCTGAGCTTTTAATGTGTGAATCTGGTCAAAATTAAGCAATATTTCATCAAACATGTTCATTCAAAGATCTACAACAGGTAAGATTTTAAGTGTTTGTAATCTTTCCACAAAAACAAACAAAATATATATATTTTAAAATCTWAATCAAAGTTTTTCACAGTTATCTAAATCGCAGTTTGTTTGATTCACATGATGGCGTTAGTTCTGCTTACATCTGAGGGTGCTTAATTTTGTACGAGATTTTTATTGAAAGAGGAGACGAGATATTAAGTCCTGGCAGTAACCACTATCTATTACTTTTATTATGTTTTAAGTCCATCCAATAGTTTAGTGGATCACAAAGAACTTGAAACTTTCAATTTGTGATAAACCTCATCCGGGGTTCATCTGGGTGATCATGAAGCAGACAGTGCTCATCTTTTTCAACAGGTTTACACACATTTGTCACTTCTAAGATCCTGATTTGAATTTCAATTTTCAATCCACATGCTACAAATGATTCTTAAATCAAATCCTATATGAAGCTCAACAGCCTTACATTTTTAAGTCTTAGTTGCAGGATAGAGGAGGGGGAGAAGACCAACCATTCTGAGATTAAAGCAAATAGGTGTGTGTGTGGGTGTGTGTGTGTGTG